ATGGGATTTTTGAGAGACCATTCCCTGAGTTACTGCGATTGCGTTCCAGCCAGGCCTTTGATGTACAGTAGCGATGCTGTTGATAACATGTGGGCTGCTGCCTCGGTGTCCCCGGCTTCGTGTGTGGCTGTCCATTGTTGTTCCAGGATCCGGCCGGCCGGAGCCCCACTTTGCCCCAGCATTGTGAGCCTGTCTGTTCTGTTGACTGTTGGGACCTTGGCACTTTGTTTCATTTTTATAAGTTTTGGTGTATGTGTCTTGGTGTTTCGCCTGCAAATATGTCTGTGTACCACATGTGTACAGTGTCTGCAAAGGTCAGAAGAAGGTGTGCGATCTCCTGGAACTGGAGTAACAGATGGTTGTGAGCTGCCAGGTGGGTGCTGGGAACCAAACCTCAGTCCTCTGCAAGACCTAGACCTGCTGGTGCTCCTCCTGACCACTGAGCTCTCCAGCCCCATGTTTTATTATTGATTTATTGCTGGTGGGATGGGGTTGTTTTGGTTTTGCAAGACAGGGTTTCTCTGTGTAGTTCTCTGGCTGCTCTGTAACTCACTCTGTAGACCAGACTGGCCTCAAACTCACAGAGATGCCCCTGGCCCTGGTCCTGCCCCTGGTCCTGCCCCAGGTCCTGCCCCGAGTGCTGGGATCAAAAGCATGCACCATCACTACCCAGCCCTTTTTTTTTTCCTTTTTATTTTATTTTTTAAAAAATAACAATTTTGGGCTGGAGAGATGGCTCAGCAGTTAAGAGCACTGACTGCTCTTCCAGAGGTCCTGAGTTCAAATCCCAGCAACCACATGGTGGCTCACAACCATCCATAATGAGATTCGATGTCCTCTTCTAGTGTGTCTGAAGACAGCTACAGTGTACTCATAAATAAAATAAATAAATCTTTAAAAAAAATAACAATTTTAACTATAGAATTTTATAGGATTAGGGTTTTTTGGAAGATCTCATAAGTAGTGGTGAAGTAAACCTGGGTTTTGCACACTACTGTAGTGTTCTGCCCTTGCTTCCCGGCCCTCCACTGGACAGACCTTGGGGAAATAGGTTTTTGATGGCTTTCCTTGTCTTCAGGGGTTGCTTACCAGCCGGCTAGGAGCCTCTCAGGTTGTAGCTGCTGTTGAACACCAGGCTCTGGTGCCTGTGAGCTCCAGAGAAGGAGTTGACAGCAGCCTCCCAGGCTCCCTCCCCATGCCCCTCTGGGTAGTCTCCTGTGCTGATAGTGTGCAGGACTCGTTGGCCATGGTGACTGAGAAACAAAGGCTGGCTTCCTCGGTTTGCTTAGGAAACTGTTTTTTCCATAATATAAAAAAATGTTTGCTAACAAAGACCTTGTTTCGGCCATTGAAGTTCTTGTTTTCCTGTGAGCAAATGGAGAAGTGGGGGCTGGTCACTGCCCTGTGGTTGGGACGGCTAGGTGGCCAGACGGGAAGGGGCATAGAGAGAGGAAGGAACACCAAAATACTCTGCACGCCCAAGAGGGAAACTCTGTACCCTTTAGCCTCTCCTGAGCCTGGGTGCCCAGGTGCCACCTGGCTGGTTACCTTGAGGAACAAGGGAGGGGCTCTGCCATGTGAGAGGCTGCACAGGTGCCAACTTCCTAGGGAGTGAAAGGGTTTCAGTTACAAGCCCTGCTGTGTAGATGGATCTACAAGCTTCAAGAAGGGAACGGCAAGGCCAGATGTGGTATCACACACCTTTATCCCAACCCTTGGGAGGCAGAGGCAGATCTGAAGAGGTTTGGGTCTCTGAGTTTGGCCATGTAGAGAGACCCTGTCTCAACCTCCCACCCCCACCCCCAATGTAATGGTGTATGCTGAAAGTGACTCCTTTAGGTACTGACAGAGAAGAGCCTCCCACTGCCATTTCTTGGTAGATGCCTAGTTGCTCTTTCTTGAGAGCTGTGGTCTGGAGCCCTCATGTCCTTGATTTCTTGTTATGTCAGTGACAGGAGGTGCGCCTGGCTCCCAGCCCTTTCCTACTGCAGTGCTTTCAGAGTGTAGCACTTGTTCCTGGGAAGACTTGGTCAGTCATGGCCTCCTGAGGCTTGTCTGTGGAGTGATCTGGCAGGTAAATAAACATCCCAAATGCTGGTTGTGCATGGAGAAACACCTACTGTGCGACATATGTCATTCTGTCAGTCACGGAGGTTAGGATATGTTTGAGTGGAGGAGAGGAAGAGTCCGATGTGTAGCTAACCCTGTATGCACACCAGTGCCACGTGCTGGCTCCTTCCTGCCAAGCCGTCCTCATATGCTCCCCCAGTCTCTGAAAGTGAGGTCTCATTGCTATTGGCGCTTCCTTCTCTTACCAAGAGGAGGGCAGGGCTGCCGCTGCCTAAAGAGGACCTTGCCTGAAGATAAGGACCCAGTTCTTCCTGCTGCGTCGCCTGCTTCCTCCATGGCCTGAATCTTGGGATACAGCTGCAGTTCTCTGTCCTCACTGCTGACTGTAAACAGAGCTCTCTGGATCTGAGCCCTGGTGAAAACCCAAGACCTGTCCTGTATGTCCACATGTTCCTGCCCAGCCAGGCTGGCAGTCCTTCTCTGTGCAGCACCTCTGCGTTCCCTGGATCCTCTGCAGTGTAGTGGTCATTTCCTCCCTGTAGCCGCTTACTCTGATGCTTTCTAACTGTATCTCCGATGGCTGTGACCTGCAGTTTCTCAGAGCAAATGTGATGATGTTGGACAGCGAGGACTGAATCGAGTCCCTAGATGGAGTGGTCCTGCTGTACTCATGGCTGAGGTTACCTACAGCCAGATGGGCCGGCCTAGCGGGGGAGCAGCAGCCTTCTCCGCCCTAGGCTGTGCTTTCCAGCCTGCTGGCTTTGGGGCTGTGCCTGTGTGCAGGACCATCTAAACAGCACATGTGGTTTTGATCTTCAGCACACGTTTCCTCCTTAAACCTGCTCTTGGTTGCAGTTAAGATGAGATATCACCATGAAACGCTCTCCCCGTTTTCAGTTAAACCCTACAGAGGAGTGACACTTGCCAGTTTTGTGTGGCGTTGCACTCAGCAGAACAAGTATGAGGTTTCCTTGGCCTGGTCAGAGGCCTTGGGTGTGAGTGTGTCCCAGGACAGAGGCCATAGGTGTTGAGTGTGTCCCTGGACGGAGGCCTTAGGTGTGAGTGTGTCCCTGATGGAAACCTTAGATGTGAGTGTGTCCCTAGACGGATGTCTTAGATGTGAGTGTGTCCCTGGATGGAGACAGGTGTGAGTGTGTCCCAGGACAGAGGCCTTGGGTGTGAGTGTATCCCTGGATGGAGACCTTAGGTGTGAGTGTGTCCCTGGACGGAGGCCTTAGGTGTGAGTGTGTCCCAGGACAGAGGCCTTGGGTGTGAGTGTGTCCCTGGATGGAGACCTTAGGTGTGAGTGTGTCCCTGGACGGAGGCCTTAGGTGTGAGTGT